ATTATTAAGTATTAAAAGCAAATAGTAAAAATAATCAGTCTACTATTGATTATTCAATTCATGTTGATTATTATGGAATATCCAATTCAAAAATTTATGCATTTAAAGAACAGCTATTTGTCATGCACAATAAAATAATTCAAAAATTGAATTTTATGAAAAATTAAAAATCAGTTTAAAATAAAACCTTTTCAAGCCACGAATGTAAAATAGGTTTTAGCGCTACCATATTATTATGCGACAATGTAAGACTTTCAAATCGACATATCGTTGACTGACTTAATGATCCAACGCCTGGCATCTTTAGGTGTGCAAGAGCTTTACCAACATCAGCTTGAGTTACGCCCAATTTGATACGCCTTTGCTTAAAATGTTCCGCAAAACGCTCTAGTTCACGTGGATCTGTATCCAATTCTGTAATATGCAAATTTAATTCTTTCATAGTTTATTATTTATTTTTATTTCTTTTTCTACCTTACCATTTTATTCCATTAAAATTTTTAATTATTAATTAAAGTTCATATGTTTTTTAACATATGCTTAATTAAAGCTGTAATTTAATAGAACAAATTTCAAAACCTTGATGAAAAGTTTGTTAACTTTACAGAAAATAATATAAAATATGAATGATTTGTTTGGAAAAAATGAAAAAATTTTTGTAAAAAAAGTTAAATTTTTTTTAGAACTATCATTATTAGTTCTTTTTTTCCTGTAATTACCTGTAGCTTGAGCTGATAAAGGATATATTGGCACCGCAGCAGCAGCAGCACTTTGTGATGCAACAACTGCAGTTGCAGTTGCAAACGGTGATGGTATCGGATATTGGGAAAATTGTGCAGTTGGATAGTGTTGCATTGCCATTACATGCTAGAAACATGCGTATAATATATATCGGAAATGATACGAATTAAAATTACGAAAAAAAATCAATCATAGTTTTTGTTTAACTAATTTAAATAATACTATAAAACAGCTGAGATAAAAAAAAAACTGACTTAGAAACTTCATTACCTGTAAGGAAGCCATTGAATCAGCTGCATGATTCATGGATGAATCAATAATTGAACTTTGTGAAATTGCAGATGAATCAAATTCACCGGACGATGGCAAATGTGATGCTGCGGTAGAATGATAGCTAGAATAACGATTAAAGCTAAATAAGTTGTTAAAATTTGAAGAAATGTATTGAAATTAATTTAAAAAGTAAATCATAATATTTGAAAAAATTTTGGAAGCTAAGAATGAAAGAAATGTCACACGTACGTAAATATATCCGATGGTCGAAGCATTCCGCTAGCGGCCATATTGACATTTTTAACATCAATTTCAGCAAGTGCAGCTTGTGCTGCTCTTGCTTGAAATAAAGTATCATCGAAAGTGCCAAAAATTGAATTCGTTTGAAAGTTCTGAAAATTTCGAAAAAAACAAAATCATACCAACGCCATAAATAAAGCTTACACTTGATTGTAAAAATAAAATTTAATTAATTAAATTAGAATACAATCAAAAAATAAATACTATACATTATATTGGTTGAACATTGTACCTCTGAAAGTTTCCAAATATAATAATTTTGAGAGTTTTCAAACTATAGTATAGTAGTATGAACGCAGATATGAGAATATCTGTAAGCCAAGATTAAAAATTAAACTTTTATAAAACCTTCTATAGCAATATTATTTCATTTAAGCCAAGAAATGCTTGAAAAGTAAAAAGGAAAAACAAAAATGGCTGAAAAGCCTAAAATTTAATCAATTAAAATGACGAAGAAGCAAAGAAATTTGTTAAGAATGAATTTCGAAAAGATAGTTTCAAGCTTTGTTATTCAGTTTATTACTTGGCTGAATATTTTCTATCTCGGTCTCATAGAAGAAAGTTATCTTAATTCGTAGAGTTGAATTAAGTATAATTGAACAAAATGTATGGAAGTTTTTGAAATATCAAGCTCATTAAAAAAATCTAACGATTTAATAAGCGACAAAATTAAATGTGTCAAAAAAATTTATTAAAAAATTTTTTCTGAATGATTTTTAAAACTGCTCTCTTTATTTCTGAACAAAAAATTTTGATTCATAATTAATCATCCAAGTCAGAATGATTTGGAACAATTTGTACAAAATAATTTTAATATATTTATCAGCTTTTAAAGCAAATAAATAATAACTGGTAATAATAAACAAATGTTATTTCACAATTATTTCCTTTTTAAGATTAATGTTATTTGTGATCATTTTAAATAACAGACGAAATTAAAATTACAAAAAAATCAATCATAGTTTTTGTTTAAGTAATTTAAGTAATACCATAAAACAACTGAAATTAAAAAAAGTTAGTGATTTAGAAATAAGATGACTAAATTTTGCAAATTTTAGAAAAGTTTTAGTCATAATTGTAAAAATGTGCGATGAAAATAATCAAATTAGCCAAAAATAGACTGGGACAAAGAAAAAGTGGGCTGTAGAAGGAAAAAGTAGACTATTATTTGGCAGTATTTACTAAAATACAAGAAATTTTAAGTGAATTTCAGATTAATATTTTTTTTATTTATATATACACTTATGTCATTTCATTCTTTGTTTTGTTTGTCTTAAAATGGTTTAAATTTCTAGAATTGAATAATCTCTGATAGATAATAGATCAGCAAATAAGAGGAGAAATAATAAACAAATAAACAAATATATTTGCAATTATAAACACACACTTATACGCTAATATAGATGCACAAATAAAATAACAAACAAATAGACAAATAATAAA